CGCGTCTTTGACACGTACGAAAAAAAAATGACATCTCGCCCGAATGTCTCTGCACGTCGACAAAAAAAAAAAAAAAAAAGAAAAAACAAGAGAAAAAGAGGGTAATTTTCATCTATCTTGGAAGCAATCCAAACTGCGTGAACCCGGTTCGATCGTCGAAAAACCAGCCTCGATCGAAGGGGGAGGGAAACAAAAAAAAAAAGGTGACGTTCGCTCGATCTCCACCTCGAGGCAAGACAGTTCGAACGTCGGAAGAAACGACTGGGGAAAAAGAAGCATGAAAAGCCGGCGACATCGGATGGGAGGGATAGCCTCCGCGGAGATGCTCTCAAGAAAATACACGTCGTAAGAGCGGCGACGTTATAAAGCAATGACGATAATGGCCGTGGAAAGCGTGGCACGGTTCGTTGAACGCGAGAACCAAAACCCGTCCCCCGTTATTCGCGAAGTGAAATGCTTCGCCCAGTACTTTTAAACAATTGCGGCGAATTTTCAGGCTGGCCAGGACCCCTCCCCCTCCCTTTCTCTCTGTACAAGAACAAGAAGGAGATAATTTCATTGAGAGAAACTCATAAATTATGTAATGCAATCGCTTTCCTTTTTTTTTTTTTTTTAAACAGTTTCATCTAGCCTGTCGGCAGATGAACATCGACCTTACTCTTCCTAATAATTTGTATCTTCTTTTCCCGATGCCGGGATGAATTTATCATTGCGAAGTTAATTCGCATTTCTTTCGAGTCACTCGTTCGAAAACAGCGTTCGATGAAGGAGGAAAGAAATTCTTCAGCTCGATCAAACTCATCGCTGTATTTATACGCAACCCTCTGTTTCACCCCTGATTTCACCCCCGAATGTGAATGGAGATTCTTCTCTGCAACGCGAGGATTCGTCCCTTGAAGCGAAAAAAAAAAGAGAAAGCAGAAGAGGGGAAAAAAGGGGGAACGATAGTCTCCAGAGGTAACTAACCTAACCTGCAACCCCTAAAACCAGCCGCGTCGCGCGCCATATACTTCGCGTTGGTGGTGAATGTCTGTAGAAGGGAAGCAGACACGGCCGCGATATAATTAGCAGAAATTAGAGTTAGGTCAGAAAGCAAAGTTATCGAGGTGAGTTTCGACGCTGTTCCTGCTTGATGCTTCTCTCCCCCCCCCCTCTGTTCTGATATAATTACTAATTAATTACCGTTCCGTTGGTCCTTTCGGCGGCAGCCAGCTTAAAAGGACACCGCGAGCTAAGGATAATTCCTCCTCGTCGACGAGAACGATGGGAAAGGCGACTAACGACTTCCGTTTTAATAATTTTCGTCTCGCGAGACTGAATGAAGGGCAGGCTGGAGCGCAGGATTCCTCTTGTCTGCGCGATCGATATTTATTCGAGCAGAAGGTACGCGTCTGGACACTCTGTATTCGTACTTTAATTTTACAGTGATGTTGTTAACATGTTGGAACGATCGACGATTCAAGGGCATAAAAAAATTTCCATCGGAGGCACGACGAAGTAAAAGAAACAGAGGAACTTTGTGAATGCTTTCATGCACACGAAAAATCATCTAACTCTCGAAAAGTGTATTGTTTCGCGTTTAGTAAAATTTCTTTGGGAAATTACAAACTAATCACTTTGCCAGTGTTGATTGATTTCATTTTACGAGATCTTCAGCAGTCTTCTTCGTCTTTACATAGGCTGTTATTAAAATTATTTACGTCATTATTATTAAGACATCCCGGGGGGGAATGTCGATTGTGCATAACTCGTGAATCGTATATCAACTTTGCAATCACGCCTAGAGAAGAAAGAGAAACTATGAAACGGAGCAACAAGATCCAACCAATTCTCCAAATCTCTTTCACAAAACAGCCTATCCACCGCCTACTCTCCTCCCTCGCTCCCCCTCTACCGCCAGTTTGAATATTCCCTAGACCGGATTATATTCCGCGCTTTTATTTATCGAGCGTCGGTATATGAAAAAAATGTAAAACTCGCCCCCAGGGTGCAGGTGTGTGTGTGTGTATATTTCATCGCGCGCACGTACGCGCGTGTGTATGTGTGTTGCAGGTTGCGAGTTCCCGGCGCAGTGGAACGGCCACTGGTTTCAATCGGGCAACGAGGGACTGGTGACGGTGAACGGGTCCATGATGACCAGCAAGGGCCGCTGCATCGAGACCAAAGACGACAAGTTCCTCATTCAGGACACGTGAGTCTCTCTTTCATTTGAATTGCAAGTGAGATATAGTCTGTCTCTCACCTAGATATACGCCTCTGTCTTTGTGTGCGTGCGTGTACGTACGGTTTGGCTATCGACACAGGCCGTGGCCGTCGATATGAAGCGATGCACAGATCGTATTGCGCGTCCCTTTATCCGCGTCAGTCCGACCCCCCGTCCCCTCTCTCTCTCTCTCTCTATTTCTCTCTGTCTGTCTCTCTCTTCCAGCCACCGAGCTTTTATTAATTAACTGCACCCTTCGTTGGCTGGACCCTCTGACAAAGAGCTCGAGGCGACGTGCCAACCGACACACAGCGCGGTATAAAACGTTTCTACGGTGAAATGCCGCGGTGCAAGTGTTCGGGGTTAACGGAGTAAACTAGGGGCAGTTGGCTGGCGTATGACGTGCCTATAAGAACTCGCGCGCGTTGTATTCGTTTCGATCACGTAATCGTTGATACTTTGCTGCTTGAACAGAAAATCGTAGAGAAACGTATTTCCCCTCCTTTAGATTGTACTTTTTCAATTCTCTACAATTCATGGCCTAAGAAGTTAGCTGTTGGTCTGAAAAATTCCGCGATGCGTGTACTCGTGGTTAAACTAAGGTGTTCCGAGAACTCGCGCGCGTTGGATTCGTTTCGATCACGTAATCGTTGATACTTTGCTGCTTGAACAGAAAATCGTAGAGAAACGTATTTCCCCTCCTTTAGATTGTACTTTTTCAATTCTCTACAATTCATGGCCTAAGAAGTTAGCTGTTGGTCTGAAAAATTCCGCGATGCGTGTACTCGTGGTTAAACTAAGGTGTTCCGAGAACTCGCGCGCGTTGGATTCGTTTCGATCACGTAATCGTTGATACTTTGCTGCTTGAACAGAAAATCGTAGAGAAACGTATTTCCCCTCCTTTAGATTGTACTTTTTCAATTCTCTACAATTCATGGCCTAAGAAGTTAGCTGTTGGTCTGAAAAATTCCGCGATGCGTGTACTCGTGGTTAAACTAAGATGTTCCGAGAACTCGCGCGTGTCAGATTCGTTTTGCTACCGATCACAGAATCGTCGATACTTGGAATAGTTGTATTAAAATTCGAGAAAATTCCAGAGAAATACATTTCTCCTCGTTTCGACTGTACTTTTTCAATTCTCTGCAGTTCGTGGTCTGAAAAGAAGATTAGTCCTTCGTTTAGAAAATTTTCGTTTCGACGTCGAACACGAGAAGAACACGAACACGTTGAATTTCTAAAAGAAACGTGTGTCTTTCGTCCCTTCTTAAGGTTGTGCTCTTTTAATTCCCCACGGTCCGCGCTCCAAGGGAAGAAAACTTACCGTGCGTTCTCGAGAATTTCTCAGAGAACTTTCCACGGCGTGGATCGAGCGAGGTTTTCTAATGTCTGAGTCGGAAATTCTCGTCTCTGGCCGCCCCCTCCCCCCCACCCCCCGGAAGAAAAAGAAATTTCTAAGCGTGGTGGGGTATATGTAGGAGGCACTGCCGGCGGTTGCAGCTTATCGGCGATCGTCGCGGCTTAAAGGCGACGTTGAACGGGAGCGAGCCTTAAGCTTCGCCGCGATACCGCCGGGGACAGAGAGCGGCGACGCGCGTAGATACTGTCTGCTCGCACGACAGCGAGAACCTTCTCTCTCTCTCTCTCTCTCTCTCTCCCTCCGCGAAATTGGATCCTGGTCGTGGCGTAAGTTGCGGATAACAAGTGCTTGGATTTCGGGCTGGCTGTATGTGCAATCGATAGTCGAGCGGTTGCAGAGCCCGCTCTCGCCTCCCCCGCGTTTCGCGCAACCAGATATTTTTCAATCAAATCCGCTGAATTTTTCCTACAGTATCGTGACTGTATCATCGAGGAATCTTGCGTATGTTTTCTGCTCGGATATCACGTATTAGGTATTTCAGTTCGTGCGTTGCGCGGAAGATCTTGAATCCTAGCCGCCATCTTTGAAATTCTTCTTCCCCCCCCCCCCCCCCCCAGCCCTTGATACTTGATACTAAGCAAGGAAACAAGATTTTCATACGGCGTTGAGGTTAGGAAGTTGCGATCTTGGAAGCTCGCCGGAGTTTTGGGAAAAACTTCGAAGAATTTCAGTGACAATTTCTTCGATGAGAGTTACCGAATAAATTTCGTTCGCTCGCGAGACTGCGAGGAAACGCGGCATCGACCCGGCCGTAGAAATCGAACACTCGAACGACAACCCTTGGATCTCTCTTCGAAATTCCCTCGTTATTCCACGGCAGTTAATATTAAATATTCTCCTCGTCATTCTCCTCGGCGTTTAAATTTCAAATTAGCGGGAAACGAGAGCTGGGACTCTCTCTCTCTCTCTCTTTCTCTCTCTGGCTTTCTCGGCATCGCTCGAGCGAAATATTCCGAAATTGTTTATCAGAATTTCATTTATTTGCTCTCTTAGCGCGTGAAACCTTAGAAGGCTGCGAGGGATGAAACTCCGGGGCAAAGTAGTACAATCAACGATAAGACGCGACCCAAGATGAGGATCCTTTATTCCGTTTCGTTTTATCTTCTCTCCCTCCTCTCTCTCTCTCTCTCTCTCTCTTTCTTCGCGAGATTCTTATATTCCTGAGTGACCTTAATATCCGCGCGCGGAAGAAGAATGAGAGAAAGAGGAGGTTAGCGAGATCATTTCGTGCACTTTGTGAAAATTCTATTTGGCCGGGGGTATCGTTGCTCTCGCCGTCTTGGGATAGATGGCGTCCCGCGATGAAAGATCAGCCATCTTTGAAAACTACGTTGAAATCTAAGGAAACGGTAGCCCCCGTTCCACGAATTCCTGAGACTCTTAATTCCCTTATCCCGTTTATGGTTATGGTGCCCCTTTCATTTTTCTTCTTTGGTTTCTGGGGGAATCCTCGACGTTTCGTCCTTGGATGGCGGACAGTTCTCAGCTGGAATTTTTATACTCTGCTAAATATACCACCTAGAACACAGCGACGTGCAGCGCTAAACTAAAAATAATAAGCTTTGGAAAATTCGTGTTGTAGCTGGAACCACGAAGCGTTGAGATGTGAAATCTGGTGCCCCCGAATCCTTAAAGAATGCGTAAAGTATCGAGCTTTCTAAAGCTTCTAAAGCTTTCTGTAATGATGATTATAAACAATATAGGCACACATCAGGTAGACTCAACCTTAAGGGATGCTTTGGAACTTTGAAATTGTTATAAATAATTTTATTAGTAAATATAATAGTTGTTTGAAATTTTAAAAATTTTTACTAATATTAAATAGTTAATTTTTTAAAGACAGTGTTATAAATATAATAAATAAATTATTAAATAAAAAAATTTTAATTTAAATTTAATTATTTTTGATATTTGTCAATTGGACAAATAAAATCATCATTCCTCTAATTATAATAATCAGTCTTGAAGATTCAGTCCTGAGCTTGACGATTCGAAAAGTCGAGCTTTGCACATCATAAATACAAAATATATAAACAAATATGTGGCACGGGGTGTAGAACATTTAGGGAAGAGTAACATAGAGGAAAAATCGAGTCTCAAGAATTGAACCGGAGGGATTGATGCATCCGGTGCAACCTGCTGACCTTCCGTCAAGCTTCCGGTGTGTTTTACACGATGGACGCTCGTCCATCAAAAAATTCAGCTGCCCAACGTTGCATATTTGGTCTTTATTGTCGCGATCTTCGTGAAACTTTCTTCCACCGTGCTTCCTCGACGTTTTCAACTCGCAACGGGCGTTTATCGTCTTTCTCGGCGAAGCGGCAGAGAATTACATTCCACGGTATTTAGGTTAATTTCGTTCCTCGAACTATTGTCGTGTCGGTAACAGGATTGTTTGGCTCTTGGAAATTTTGTTTTCGTGTCTTTTGGCGGATTTCCCGACTCTCCGAAGAATTTGAACGATTTCAATTGATAAATTAGCAAATGTAACATAAAAGGAATGGAAACAATTGACAAATTTCAACAGCGACTAAATAATAATTAGAAGATCTCGTAAAAATTCGAGAGATCGATGTTGAATTGTTTTTTCTTTCTTTTTTTTTTTGCGAAGAGTTGAATCATCGAACAATTTCTTCAATTTTTTCTTCGTATTGAATTTTTACGTAATTCAATTCGTACCGATATTTCATTCATTACAAGGTTCTCCACTTCCATTAAGAACTTCTAGCTTAATTTCATAATGTTTGAACAGAACGATGAAATACTGATGTACTGTTAATTTAAGTACATATTGCGTGAGCGCCAATTCTAAATTAATATGACGAAAAGCGTTAGCAGTTACTATATTAGCAGTAGCTTACACTTTAGCGAAGGTACGAGCAGTAGAAGTGGACGTTTCCAGTCAGACGCGTCTTCAAGTAGAAATATCGATCGATGCATTGGCACATTAAACAGAGTTGAGGAGATGTACCTTCAGTGTGACAGTGCAAACTTATTAAAACGCGTCAAATTTAATTTTCGTTTGCATTCCTTCCTACAAAATTGTTAACATCAGGTAAATAAGGAAGATAAAGTTAAAATTACATGAAACTCGTAGTATTTTATTATTGATTTGATTTAAATTTCTGACAGTTTATCGTGGAAATTCGTGGAATAATTTTGCGAAAGAAGAAAAATTATTTAAAAACCAGGAAATGATTGGTTGGCGAATCTCAGGAATTTGGGGAATTTGGGGAAATTGGGAAATCGTGTGCCTGGAAAATTCGGATTAGGAATTCTGATAATTAGAAAATTAGAGTTTTAGGAATTGGAGACGAGGAGAGATTAAATTATTAGATAATTTGACAGTACAGAATCAGAGAGACTCGGTATTTTAAGGAACTTCAATTCAAAAATTATTTAAAATATTAATACTCAAATATTGTCGAGAAATTTATTATTGGGCGAATCAGACGAATGTTTCGTAATATCTTGTCTCTATAATTGCACAGTGCAAAATTTCCTTCCTAAAATTCACGGTGACCCTCGATCTATCCAAAATCTCCAACGATTCTCAACCGAATCCCCTGAA